CTGTCTTCCAGGGTATTAGCTATTCCATCTAATATTGCATGCTACTGTATTCCTAATTACTATGTTCAGATGTGAAAGCTGGACAATGAAGAAAGCTGATGAGGGGGGAAAACTATTCATTTGAAATAGGGTACTGAAGGAGAGCTTTGTGGATACCTTGGACCACGAGAAAGATGAACAAGTGGCTTCTAGATCAAATCAAGCCTGAACCAAATGACAAAACTTAAGTCGTTGTACTTTGGATGCATCGTGTGAAAACAAAACTTACTGCAAAAGACAATAATGGTAGGAAAAGCTGATGGCAGCAGGAAAAGAGAAAGACCAAGTATCAGATGAATTGACTCTGTAAAAGAAGTCAGAGCCCTGAGCTAAGCAGGGTTGTTGAGGACAAAAAATTTTGGAGGTCACTCATTCATAGGTTTACCATAACTCAGAGGTAATTTGACGGCACAGAACAACACTAACTCAGATCTCTAGAGTGGTCCTAGTTCAACAATCTAACTACTACACTACACTAGCTAGGGCATCCCTGTTAACATGTTTAAAGAATCATATATGTATTATGGAACTAGCTATGCCCAGATACTGAATAGGCACATTTCTCTCTTTCCTGAACACATCTATGCAAGCTGAGAAGTGATTAAAACCAGCCTCTCACTTTAGGAGATATCATACAGAAAGCTGGGCTAGATTTAGATGGAAACATCAGTAATTTAAAAAATATGTAGATGATACAATATTGTTGGCAGTAGGCTGGAATGACATGAAACAACCCCTGTTGAAGACGAAAGAAAAAATGTACAGCTTGAATACTGACAATGAAAAAAATGAAATTGTTAACAGTTTTGTATATCCTTGGTTGAATCACCAAACGAAATGGAGTCTGCAGCCAAGAAATAGAAGGGAACAAATGAAGGAACTAGGAAAGATTCTCAAGTGTAAGCATGTGTCATGGAGACCAAGGCTAGAATCATGCACAGAATCATAAAATTACAGAGCTGGAAGGGGCCTATAAGGACATTGAATACAACCTCCTGCTCAGGTGGTTGTCAAGATTTCTCCTGAATCAAGTGTCGGAGCTTCACCATCTCGCAAGGTAATTGGTTCCACTGCTGTACTGCTCTAGCAGCTAGGAATTTTTTCCTGATATTCAACCGATATCCGGCTTCTTGTTATTTGAGCCCATTGTTGCATGTCCGGCACTGAGGGGATGACTGAGAACAGATCTTGTTACAGTATTTGAGCCCATTGTTGCATGTCCAGCACTGAGGGGATGACTGAGAACAGATCTTGACCCTCCTCTGCATAACTACCTTTCAAGTATTTGAAGGGTGTTATCATATCTCCCCTCAGTCTTCTTTTCTCAGGGCTAAACATGCCCAATTCTTTCAATCTTTCTTCATAAGGCTTGGTTTCCAGCCCCCTAATCAGCTTTGTTGTCCTCCTCTGAACTTGTTCCAATTTGTCAGCATCCACCTCGAAGTGTGATGTCTAGAACTGGACCCAGTACTCACGATGAGGCTTAAGCAGTGCCAAATAGAGGGCAACTAGTGCCTCATGGAATCTGACGACTGTATTTCTATTAATGCGGCCTAATATAGCTTTTGCCTTTTTTGTAGCTATATCACACTGCTGGCTCATATTCAGCTTGTGATTTATGATGATTCCAAGATCCTTCTTGTGGTATTGCTGAGCCAAGTCTCCCCCATCTTGTAATAGTGTGTTTGTTTTCTTTTTCCGTGGTGCAGGACTTTGCATTTATCCCTCCTGAGTTTCATTATGTTGTTTTCAGCCCAGTGCTCAAGCCTATCTTGATTATTTTGAATTTTGTCCCTGTCTTCCAGGGTATTAGCTATTCCATCTAATATTGCATGCTACTGTATTCCTAATTACTATGTTCAGATGTGAAAGCTGGACAATGAAGAAAGCTGATGAGGGGGGAAAACTATTCATTTGAAATAGGGTACTGAAGGAGAGCTTTGTGGATACCTTGGACCACGAGAAAGATGAACAAGTGGCTTCTAGATCAAATCAAGCCTGAACCAAATGACAAAACTTAAGTCGTTGTACTTTGGATGCATCGTGTGAAAACAAAACCTACTGCAAAAGACAATAATGGTAGGAAAAGCTGATGGCAGCAGGAAAAGAGAAAGACCAAGTATCAGATGGATTGACTCTGTAAAAGAAGTCAGAGCCCTGAGCTAAGCAGGGTTGTTAAGGACAGAAAATTCTGGAGGTCACTCATTCATAGGTTTACCATAACTCAGAGGTAATTTGACGGCACAGAACAACACTAACTCAGATCTCTAGAGTGGTCCTAGTTCAACAATCTAACTACTACACTACACTAGCTAGGGCATCCCTGTTAACATGTTTAAAGAATCATATATGTATTATGGAACTAGCTATGCCCAGATACTGAATAGGCACATTTCTCTCTTTCCTGAACACATCTATGCAAGCTGAGAAGTGATTAAAACCAGCCTCTCACTTTAGGACACCCACATACCTTCTCCCCCACCCCATCTCACACACAATACTCACATAAGCTCACAATTACCAATAGATATTTTTACCACTTAGCCCTGCTTACTCAAAAGGGATGATTATCTATAATCTGCAACGGTCAAACGCAAAATCCCCACACATTAAGTAAATCTTCTGTGATACCCAGAAGAATAGCAGCTTCACAGAGAGGGCATAGTTACAGATTGCTAGAATATGCAAATGCCACTCAATTAAAGCAAGAAAGCGTGGAACTACCTGAACTGAACATTTGCAACAAAATGCACAGGAGTGATGGCTGGTAAAGATCTGACTGATTTTTTCAACTACACATCTAATGGCAAGCCACTACTCCAGGCAGTTGACGTATGTAAAAGCACATAAAAGCACCCTACTGATCAGACATATCATCCAAGCAAACCAAAAGGATCCACAGAAAATAAAATTTAAAATAATATAGATATACATAATAAACTTTTCTGAAAAGAGATGTTTTCATTGACTTCCGGAATGCTAGAAGGGAAGGGGCCTTGCACACATCCACCGTTAGGACATTTCCATAGTGTGGCAGCCACCACTGAGAAGGCTTGATTCCTTGCCACATTATTAACACTACGGGTATGGGGCAACTTTGCATCTTCAGGGTGAGCTGCACAGTCCTAGAATCCCACCAGAAGGGGCTGGTAAATCACTGAGTACTTTATACCCAGGAAATGCTAGTATGGATCACTGTAAGTCAGAATTAACCTGACAGTACATAAGAATTACTAATAGTTAGTAAACTGAATGAGAATACAAAGAAAAAGAATATTCCAGAAATCAAACAGGCCTTCTAGCCAGTGATTCCAGTCCTTCTCTTCACACCACAGCTCTACGAAGTTGCTGGCAAAGTGGCTGCTAGGTTACATATACTGCCTGGTGATCTTAGTCCAGTCCTTCCCTAGCGCCCCAGTGGTTGGAGTGCCAGAGGGAGAGTTCGGCTGTGGTATACCTTTTCCTTTGGCACTAGGCCCTGCAGTCTCTTACTACTCTCGAGTCCCCACTTCTCAATTCAAAATGCTGACCATCTTCTTAACTCTACAAATGCCAAATGGAGCAGAAAGGATCTATTGTGGTATTGCTCTGCCCCACTGTCACTCAGGAATCATATAAATACTCCTGGATTTAGACTGGTTTCCCATATTTGTCCAAAGGCAGTACACATGCCTAACCAACGCTTGCTTTGAATTAAGTTACAGAAGCAAGTTTCATTTGACCTGACACATTTACAAAACATGTTTCAAGACCACAAAAAGAAAGCCTGTCCATTCCACTCCAACATCCATGGTCATTCACACCAGATCCTCTAAAAATATACTCTGACAATTTGTCCATTTTGTCCAGAGGCACACATTTAACACCCATTCCTTGACAGCTGGAATATTTTTCCAATCCTTGTCCATACAGTTCTGCCTGCATTCGGTACATTTACAATCAATGATTACTGGGTATCAGACATACAGTAGTGCCTCGTTTAACGACGAATTCGCATAGCGATGGCATTTTTGCCATCACTTTTGCGATCGCATACCGATGTTGCCTAAGGGGAAAAATCGCTTTGCGATGTTTTCCCCATAGGCACCATTTTCCCCCAGCTGAGCGGCGGGAGCCTCCGAAGGAGCGCTCCCGCAGCTCAGCTGGGGGAAAATGCCTGCGGTGACCTCGGAAGGACCCTTCCGAAGGGTCCTTCTGAGGCCACCGCCGGGATTCCCCTTCCCCGCCGCCGCCTTCAGGAGTCCGACCATGCCTGGGGTAGCCTGCCGCGGGTCGGATCCAAGCCGCTGGGGGAGGATGGGAGGTGCCCGGTGGAGGAGAAGGCAGGAGCCGATCTGTCATTTCTCCTCCACCAGGCACCTCCTCCGCTGCTGCAAGCAGAGTCAGGGCAGCCCCTTGGGAGAAGCCGGGTGGTGGTGGAGAAGGCAGGAGCCGATGCCGTCTTCCCCCCCTCCCCCAAGGCTTCTCCCAAAGGGCTGCGCCCGATAGTGGGGGAGAAAACCGGATAATCCGTTCCTACTGGAACAGATTATCCGGTTTTCAATGCATCTCTATGGGAAAATACGGTTCACTTAACGATGTTTTCCCATAGCGATGTTTTTTTTGGAACCAATTAACCTCGCTATGCGAGGCACCACTGTACATGTAATATCTCCCATTACATTAAACAGTAGTAATACATTTAGTTGGGTTATTATAGCCTCTTTCTTCCATTACACAACTCAGACCTCACTGGCTTCAGGACAGTGGCTCCGCAATTCAAGATACCAGATTAAGGCAAATGTTTGTATCCAAAACTGTTTTTGTCTGCTGGCAGTCCTACCATATATGGAGACTGTCTGCTCACGTGATCTTTTATCTCCAGGGTCCTGCTCTCAATGGCCCTCTTCCAAACAGTCTGGGACTAAAGAAAAGACATAAAGCAGGTAGGCATTTATTGGATTTAAGGGACATCAGCCTAGTCAGCTGAAAAATGATCCTGATTCTACAACAAGGTGACCCATGTGTGGTGACCTGAGAGTTATGCAAACTAGCATATAACTGTCTGATTTTGCAAACTTCACACTGCTTTTCCTGGCCAGAAGGACAAGGTAAAATTAAACCCTCCCTTTGCTGCTCACATCAAATGTCCTGGTCAACCAGCTCTTGACATGTCATTTCAGCAACTCACCAAGGTCTAAAATCAAAATTCCAAGGGTGCCACATTGTGCCCAATTCCCATACGCAATGTCATTGTCTAAGTGAGGAGCATATGCAGAATTTCCCAGGCAGAATTCTGGGAGGTTCAGCCCATAAACACACACCTACAGACACCTACATTTTCTTCACCTGGAGAAGGGCTGACGTCCAAATCTGCACTGGCTGCTCCAGGCCATCTTCCTGTTGTTAATAAAAAGAAGCAGCAACAGCTGCGGAGCTTCCTGGGAGCGATAGTCCCACTGTCCTTTAGGTTCTACAGAGGTTGCCTACCAAAGAACTATGACTACACAGAACAGTTCAGCACCACTAGTTTATCATCCATCTAGAACACATTGCAACAAGTCCCAGGGGCAACTATTTAGTTAAGACACCCTGTCAAAAGCAACATACTTTTAACAGCAATCTCTGAATTTCATCTTCTTCTTTTAACAAGAGACCTTTAGGTACTTTAGGAGGCTTCAAAAATTTTATTAAATGTTAATAAAATAGATTTTATGAGAGAATCATACACACAGATTAATGTATAGTTCTTTGTGATCAAACTGACTCAAAGCACTACTCTCAAAGCAGTCAAATGAGCCTGTCACAGCATGTATATAACCATGAACAAAGTGCAGATGACGAAGTAAAAAAAAACTCTTAAGGTAACCACTACACCATGAACGCTGCCAGTTTATCTTATGGCTAGTAAAAATATAAGACAAATTATAATTCATATTCTAAAAATGTGAAGTGTCTGCCAAGCAATTATATTGCATATTTGGCCTCCCAGAATTTTGCAGTACTAGACCTTCTTACAGTGACTAAAAAGGTTAAAGAATGGTGTTATTGTTGTCTACAGTCTATTCTCATGTGCCCACATTAGAGACACTGGTACAGAACATCTCAACCTCTTCTTTGTGGACAACTTACACCTGCCTATAGAGGATGCAGAACTACAACTTTTCTTGTATAATTTCATTATCTTTCTAACCCTCATGTTCTCAAATGGAGCTACAAGCTTGATGTAAATTTTAAAAAGAAAGGAATTGTGAGCTAATAATAAGTTTTGACATTTTAAATTTATCAGAACTGTCAACTATCCCACTACAGATGCAGAACAGGGATGCCAACAATCCTGAACATTGGGGGTAGGGATAAGGTTTCACTTAATTACCATGAGACAATACCAAATTATCTGCAAAACTGCAAGAACTAAGGTAACAATAACTAGTACTATTAACAACTTTGAGTTACAATCTGCAAATGTTGGAAATATAGCAAAAGCAATGCATAATACCTTTTGCACAATCAGGTACAGTATTTTGTTTAACCAATATGATGCAATTATTCAGCAAGGTAAAAATCAATACATAGTCAAATTAAAGTTACGGGCTATCAATTAAGAATATTACATTTTAAATAACAAAAGAAGTACAATGAAGGTAAGCAAAGTTAAATCCATTTAGAAAGTCTTACTGCTGCGGCACTATCCGAGTGCCTAACAGCAGTAACAAGTTTTAGAAGAGGTAGGCTGTGTTAGTCTGTGGAAGCATATAAGGGGGAAGAAATATAAAAAGAGACAAAAGCATTGTAACACCTTGAAGACTATTATATTTTAATGTAAGCTTTCATGGACTTTCTTAGACCCTTCATCAGACATACAAAGTAGAAAACAGTGATTAACAGATTAATACTGTAAAACATACATGTTGGACTCTAGACAGTCAGTAGTGTCTGGCTGCATTTTACATGTGCCATAATTTATTACCTTTGTTTGGTTTTCAATTATGTAAACATTCCAGCAAGAGAATGCTACCAATACTAGTCTGGCTGCCACATTTTGTATCTGTTGAAGCTTCTATATTGCCTGCCAAGGCAGCTTCACATAGAGAGAATTGCAGTAATTTATTCTAGAGATGACCAACACATGGAATAGTGTGGTTAGAAAGGACTGCATCAGTGCAGCCTGCCAAAGATTAAAAAAGGCAGACCTGGCTAAGACAGATATTTATTTCATATTTCTGCTCTTGTACCCTTTATATGAATTCACTGATCACTGTTCTCTTATCTTCAGGCCTGATATCCAGATAATGCAAGTACTTAACATATCTCTCAGTAATCCATTCCTTAGACCACTTTGCTATAGTAAAACAGAATCATCTCCAGTTTTGGATCACACTCCAAAGGTTAACAGGTCCTTAAATAATGGCAGAATGCTTCCAATAACTCTTTAACATACTCACATTTGTTTTGACCATTTCAACTTAATACTGCAATCCAACAGATTCCTTTAAAGTCCATGAGGAAATAAAAATGTAATTTATTTTAAAATGATTAGCAGGTTAACAGGTCCTTAAATTATGGCAGAATGCTTCCGAGAACTCTTTAACGTACTCACATTTCTTTTGACCATTTCAACTTAATAATAAAAATAATAAAAATAATAAAAATGTAATTTATTTTAAAATGATTACAGCTGAAACAAAAATAGATTGTATTGGTATCAGATTTCATTAATCTAAGAAAGATAGGACAGGAAAATATTATGTACTTGTGGGACTGCATGGAAACCTCAATGACAACTGCAATGCTATCATGGTAATGACAAAAGAAACCTTGACTGATATTCAATCCATTTATATGGGTGTCCATCATGTGAATAAAAGTTTACATTGAAAACCTCAATGAGAACCAAAGGAAGCACTGGTGGATGCAGATGTTTTTCTGTGCAGACATATAGAGATAAAGATAAAATGTATGCTGCCAGGAGTTCCTTGGAAATAAGGAGAAAAATGTATGCAAATCATAAGTGATAAAAGATTTTCCGTAAACTGATCAACAGCATACAGTACTGAATTATCAGTTAAGTCTCTGCTTATGCGAACTGCATAGACATCAACAGCCTTAGATATGAACAGTTTATATAGAAGTTAACAAGCTAATTAGAGGAGTAAAACAATACATATATCTATTCAAAACCATGCAAATTACAAAAATATTCTCTTATTATCCCCACCATTACCTAAAGATAAAAACAACCTCTCTATCCATCATAGCAGTGAACAACAAAACTAAGCACCAAGATCAGACCATTATATTAATCATATAACCAGGAAAAGAAAAACAGTTTCACCTGATGCCTAAAATTTAATAAAGTCTACAGCAAAAGGGATTCTTTAGGGAAAATACTCCACAACTACGTGGCTATCAGGAAAAAGCTTATTCTCTTGTCCCCTACACTCTAAGCTACTTTTAATAGAAGCATGGAAAGAAGGACTTCAGATATCTCACTTTGAAAGGTAAGAGCTTGATTGTTCAAGACATTACCATCAAAACACTTTGAAATGAAGTAAGAATCAGATTGGCAGCCACTGCAGGTAGGACAGAACTAGAAATTCAATTTCAGAATGCTTACTTCTACTGCATTTTGCACTAATTGCCATTTTTAACACCTTAAAAAGGAACCCAATACAAAGTACATTTTAGTAATCTATCTCAGTTATCAGAGGAGAAACCACTGTAGTCACTCTATTGGCCTCCAGAGAGAGAGCAAAATGAAGCTAGCAGAAAGCACTGAATGTCAGAGATTACTTATGCTTCGAATGACAATGATGAAGTACCGGCTGTGAGGAAATAGGAGGAAACTGGAACTTGTAGTCATACAAAGATGGAGTCATGCATGGGTATTCCTTTGGAGGAAAAAGACATTTAGACACTATTATACGTTACCTACCAAAACTAAAGTGTGTCTAAACATCTCTTTCTCATCTGGAATGAATTTTGGATTGCTAACCCTTATTCAGCCTATTATGAGGGCCAGGCACTGGTTAAATACTTCCACAATCAAACCTACTTGCAATGCAAAGGAGAAACTGAACTGCATAAGCATACTGATGTAGCAAAGCATACTAGAACTTCCGATGATTATACACAGTAGATGTTAAACAGTGTGGGAGATAAAATCAAAACTAAGCAATTCCCTGCAAACAGGAGTCTCTAATGGTAGTGCTCCCCAATCACCTTTAAAGAATCACCATAAAGGGATGCCAAAATTTATGGCATCAATTATTTATTTATTTATTTATTTATTTAATTTATTCAATTTATATGCCACCCACACTACCCAGAGGTCTCTGGGCGGCTTACAATAATTAAAATTCAATACAGTAAAA